TAAGACTTCTTTGTCCTTTAAAATGTTTTGTTCTTTGATGAGTTTCCTTAGTAATATTTTCCAGTTTACCAGTTCTCTCTCTGATTATGCCCAGTCTGGAGTTTATATCATCTCTTGAATTTTTCATTTTCATGACTATCTATTTTTTTATTTCCAAGATTTCTAATTTTTTAGAGCTATTTAAGAATCCCCTCCTTTTGTGTAATTACTTGCTCTTTATTAATAGAAGTTATTCCTTCATTTATCATATTGGTAATGTCTAAACATATAAAGTCTTTGTCAGATTGTTTCATAAAAGTATTTTCACCAGGAGTAAATTCATGTTGTGATCTGTGATTTTGTTGGCTATCTTACTTGATGTTATATTGATTCATGGGCCTTAGAATTTAGATTTAGAGGCTAACTTTTAATCGGGGAGGGGGTCTTTTTGTCACTTGTAATCCCTCTGTGCACCCTTCTATCTAGTGGTTGTGATTTCTTCCACCTCGCTTCCTAAGGCCCAGATGCTGAATGATGGTTTCTGCTCTCTGGTGATATTGGGGATATCTCAATCTAGCCACAGAGCTGGTGGGGGGTGGAGGTGGTAACTTGATTGGTTCTTTACTCTCCAGTCTCCATGAGCCTGCAGATTCCCAAACATACTAGCCTCGGACAGTGGTTTGCATCTGGATATTTTTTCCAGCCTCCTTTTCCTGCCCATCCCCTGGCTTTGAGCAGGGCTTGATTCCAGGTTCTTGTCTCATGGACCACTTTACATCCCTTTTTACCCAAAAGGAACCAGACTGCTGGCTGCCAGAGCCTGTGGCAGACAAGAAGCTCAGCAAGAGTGAGGCTTCAACCCTGCTCGCCATATTGTGTTTCTGTTCCTTTTCTCGTCCATACAAAAACTTTATTCTCTTTTTAAGCATTGCTTATCTTTTTGCTTTTCTCTTTTGATACTTAATCTTTCATTGCTGTGTATTGAGAGCATAGGCCATGTATCATAGTTGAGTTTATCTAGTCATTTTGACCAGAAGTAGAAGCTTCAGTATTTATATATAGTTTCCAACACTTAAAAGAAATAGGACTGCAGTTTCTGTAACTCTGGAATGAGGTCAGGAGCCCTGTAGTGATCACCCCTGTCTTTCTTATCTTTATGTCTCCCTATCACATAGTAGATGCTCAACAATATTTCTTGAATGATGAAGAATTAAATATCATCAAGTGGTCTAAAGAGCTAATATCATGCGACTTTTTTTTTTTTTTTTTTTTTTTGCGGTACGCGGGCCTTTCACTGTCGTGGCCTCTCCCATTGTGGAGCACAGGCTCCAGACGTGCAGGCTCAGCAGCCATGGCTCATGGGCCCAGCCACTCCGCGGCATGTGGGATCTTCCCGGACCAGGGCACGAACCCGCATCCCCTGCATCGGCAGGTGGACTCTCAACCACTGCGCCACCAGGGAAGCCTCATGCGTCTATTTATGCTTACTTTTCAAAACAGCTGAACATCACTGGGGAATTCAGGAAAAACAGAGGAATGATCATGACTCTTAACCATGACTCCTGTTGAAAAAAATCCCATATTGGTGTCTCCTTCCAAATAAGAAACAAATATTAATCTCATTAGTTTCTGTTCTTAAAAGTGGGAACAGGGCTTCCCTGGTGGCGCAGTGGTTGAGAGTCCGCCTGCCGATGCAGGGGATGCGGGTTCGCGCCCCGGTCCGGGAGGATCCCACATGCTGTGGAGCGGCTGGGCCTGTGAGCCATGGCCGCTAAGCCTGTGCGTCCGGAGCCTGTGCTCCGCAACGGGAGAGGCCACAGCAGTGAGAGGCCCGTGTACCACAAAAACAAAACAAAAACAAACAAACAAACAAACAAAAAAAAGTGGGAACACTCCTTCTATTAGACACTCTGATTTCTAAAAATAGAACAAGTATAACCTGAACCAGTGAGAACTGATTCAGGCTGGGTAGGTTTCAGGTCTAACTCTCAATACTAGAAGGATTTTCAAAGGGATATTTTAAAACAAGGATATATGCATGGGCTTCTGTGGGTCCAGTAGCCCTCTGAAATTGTAGGTAATTGTATCAGTCAGTTTTGCTGTGTAACAAACTGCCCCCAAACAGTGACTTAAAACCCATTTATTTAGTTCACAACTCTGTAGGTCAGCAATTTGAGCAGGGATTTACTGGGTGGGTCTGTTGGTCTGGCTGATCTTAGCTGGGCTCAGGCTCACTGACCTCTTGGTGGTCAGTGGCCAGGTGAGCTGTGGTTTTGGTGCTCTGGGATGGCTCAGCTGGGATGGCTATCTCTGTTCCAAGTGGTCTTTCATTCTCTAGCAGGCAAGCTCAGGCTTATTCACATGGAGATGGTCACAGTGGACCTCAGAGAGTGAGCAGAAATATCTACCAAGTCTCTTTATAGCTGTAATGCATCTATAAGGTCCAAAGTCGATATTCACACAGGGTTGTTTACATTCTATTAAATTGACCAAAGCAAGTTATGGGTGGAGAAATAAAATCCATATCTTGATGGGAGGAACTGCAAAGCATTATGGCCATTTTTGCAATTTACCATGCAACAGAACGTGGAGGGTTTTTCCTCAGGTGTGGTTGTGTAATTTTCAGAAAATTACCTCCAAAGTTAAGAACCAATATTTTAAATGATTTCACTACTGAACAAAAAGAGATTTGGGGGACTTAATTGATGGATATCTGTTTCAAACACTGCTTGGTGTATGGCAATGGGATTCTCAATTGTTCTTGTTGAAGGTTACCCCTGGTATCAAGGCATTAGAATAATCCTCTCTGACTTCAGTACTGAGCCTGAAAACAAAAACTGTTGTCTTAGTGTATCTGTCAGCTTCTGTTGAGTAACAAAGTGCTCCAACATTTAGTGGTCTAGAACAATGACCATGTAAATGACCCATGCTTCCATGGGTCAGCAGATTAAGCTGGTATCAGCTGGGCTTTCACAGTGTCTGCAGTCAGCTGCAGGTCAAACTAAAGAGCTCTGGTTTGGGGAATTAACTGGTTGTCCTGACTGAAGGTGTTGGGACCACTTGTCTCTCACCACCTAGCAAATTATCTCAGGCTTGTTCACATGGTGGCAGCAGGGTTTCAAGAGAACGAGTGAAAGCACACAAGATCTTGTAGGGCCTAGGCTTGTTTTTATGGGTCAAAACAAGTCACATGCCCAGCTCGATTCATTAAGGTGGAAATAGACTCCAGCTCTGCCTAGGAGGGATGGCAAAGACATAGAAACAGGGAAGATGGGGAGTTGTAGCCTTTTTTGGGTAATCTTTCATCTCTCTTCAAGTAATTCCCTCTCACACCTCAAATTTAAGTTAAATACTGTCTGCATGTATATTCTTCCTATTCAACAGTAACACTGTGTGTCTGATAGTAGTAGTGTAAGTAGTAGCAGAAAACCACACTTAACATTTAAAACAACCTACAATTTTTTTTTTACCATTAATTGGTGGTACCCACCTCCCTTTACTACTGAGTTTTATATTCATATAAGTATTTTAAAGGTGTAAACAAATCCTGTAGATGTGTACTTTTCTAAAGAAAGTGACTTAACATATTTTCTACTGCTCATCCAGTCTCCTTGTTTTCTAATCCAACCCACACTGGAGCCAAAGTTGGTTTTCTAAAAGGTTTTCCAACTGCATTGTTTGATGAAGAAACTCTAGGGACTTCTCAATCATATTCTTTACCTTGGCATTTGAGAATCTGTGTGGTCTGGCCTCTGCCTACCTTTCAGCTTTTATTTTCCTTCATTCTCCCTTGAGTACCATTCATTACAGTTAAACCAAATTTCTTGCTGTTTCTTGAGCACACTTGGTCCTATATCAGTAGTTCTCAACTGTCCAGAGACATTGTTGGTTTTCACAATGGGGTTGTGTGTGCTGCCGGTCTCTAGTAGGTAGAGGCCAGGGATGCTGTTAAACATCCTACAATGCACAGGACAGTCTCCTCAGCAAAGAATTATCTGATATAAGTATCAGAATGCCAAGGCTGAGAAACTGCCCTACGAATTGCTGCCTCTGGGTCGTTTTTCATGCTGCCTCACACCAGAAGGCCTTCCTTCAGTCCTGCCCGTTGAAATGTCCCCTGTCCTTAAAAAGCCAGTTCAGATGCCAAGCCTTCTAGGAAACAAGTCCTGGATGGATCCCACCCTTACCTTTTACACTGTAGGTTCACAGAATCCTTTCTATGAATCACTGAAATGCTTATCACTTAAGATGTTTACAATAATTTGTGTTCCGTACTATTATTTTGTATTCTTATTGTTTCTCCCTTGTATTTTATAAGTTTATTTATTTATTTTTGGCTGTGTTGGGTCTTCGTTGCTGCACGCGGGCTTTCTCTAGTTGCAGCGAGCCAGGGCTACACTTCGTTGCGGTGCGCGGGCTTCTCATTGCGGTGGCTTCTCTTGTTGCGGAGCCTGGGTTCTAGGCGCGTGGGCTTCAGTAGCTGTGGTGTGTGGGCTCAGTAGTTGTGACTTGCGGGCTCAGTAGTTGTGGCTTGCGGGCTCTAGAGCGCAGGCTCAGTAGCTGTGGCGCACGAGCTTAGCTGTTCCACAGCATGTGGGATCTTCCCGGACCAGGGCTCGAACCCGTGTCCCCTGCATTGGCAGGTGGATTCTTAACCACTGTGCCACCAGGGAAGCCCTCTCCCTTGTAATTTAGTTGACTGTTGGTATATGAACTCTTTTGCTGAACTGTGGGTTCCTGGATGACCAGGATTAATCTTACTTATGTTTCTACTAGAGCAACTACCATGTGTTTTACATATAGTAGGTGCATAATAAATATCTGTTGAATGAGTGAGGAATGTGTATCTTCCCATGTTCTTAGCTATGGTTACTCCTTCCAACAATTTTCTTAAATGACTTAATTCAAAAAAATCCAACAAGCTGAACCTGAGTTTTTTTGTTTTTGTTTGTAATAATTTGGGTAAAATACTGTGATAACAAATGACTGTACAGTACAATTACTTGTGTTTATTTCTACAGCTGTTTAGTGAAAAAATAAGTGGCGTTGAAGGAACGAAACTAGATGATGAATTTCTTGACATGGAAAGGGTAAGAGAACATTTTAATGTAAATTATCTTATAAACTTGACTTTCATTGTGATGTGATATATACTGATACTGTAAAGGATATTAGAGTGGGGATCTAGGATGTTTGAATTCAGGTGTGGATTATGGAATCCAAAAGGCAGTTCTTTCATACTTCAAGGTCCAAATAAAGACCCTGGACCTTGGGAGATGGGATATTGGCTAACTGGTTCCCTCTGGTGGACAAGAGTCAGAATGCTCAAAAGATGGTCCATCTTGGCAAACAGTGTAGGCCAAAGTGATTGTGATTTAATATCTTGGAGAGTCGAAATGTATTACTGGGAGGAGGCTCTTCGAATATATAAATATTGATTTAATGTGTGGAAGACTCTGACCCTGTTCCCACGTGTTTCAGCAGCTACATAACAAGTAAGTTTTATCCACTGGAACCAGCCATGTCAATCAACTTGGATAAGCTGGTTTCAGAGTTTCCTGACGGGTGACACAAGGATGATAATATGTGCTCTGCTTGCCTCATGTGGATGTTTTGAGAATTATGCAGAAAAATTAACGTGTATGAAAGCATTTAAAAAATACAATGAGCACGTTACAGACGTGATTGTTAACACATGACAAAGGAAGACTGTAGAGTCTCGGTCCCTGAACAAGCTTCCTGGTCAACTGTGTGAAGTAGTTTAGGTGGAGGCAGAAGTGGGACCATCACTAATTATCAGCTTCCTCAGGTCCTTTCCCCTTTGTTTTGGGACCTTTAAACATAGCCTAGTTTTAATAATTAGAGTCCCCAGGTGAGAGAGGGCAGAGAGAAAGCAAAGCATCTTTCCTCAGGTGTAACATGGACGATACAGGCTATAGCAGGTAGTAGAGCTTTCAGCAGATTCTGGGGAAGAAAGTTCAGCCGCAGACTGTGCCTTGGGGGTGTAGGGGTTACTGTCTTCAGGATACCCTGGATCTGGCCACACTGTCCTCCGGGGAGCTTCTTATTTTCTGGGTGAGCACAATTAATTTTCTAGAAATGTTAAGGCCTTGATAGAAAGCTTATTTTGTTTTGCTTTTGGAAAAAGTTAGTTTCTGAAGATTGAAAAACATAGAACATTTAAACATCATTGGCATACCTAAAATTACTTTAAAAATCTCTTGATAGATAAAGATATTTGTGTAACTTTATTACTAATAGAATGATTCAGTTGAGATGTTAAGTTTAAAAGTACATTTCAATAATTTCAGTTTCGGTTGTTGGACTGAGACCCCTCTTGTTTACTTCCTTTCCCTCCCAAACCTGAATGAGTGACAGAAGAAATACAAAAAGAAAATCTGTTATCTGTTTTATTACAGCAGTGAAAAGCATGGAAATATTTAATAGGTCAAGAAGTTTTAAGGACTTTCTAGAAGAGGTGAATTATGAGGCCACTAAAAGGAAAAAGAAGGTTTTAAAAAATTATAGAAAGATGTATCATGTAATCTATCAGGAAATTATAGCAGTTATGAACCGTTATGCATCATTTAACATGGCATCTGAATATGTAAGGTAAAAGCTGTCAATGCATAGAGAACTGACAAAAATCAGAGTAGTAGATTTTGCATACCTTTCTCATAAAATAACAGATAATTAAATAATAGGCTCATAGAGAATTTTCATAAAGTATGACTATTAACTTTGATTGTAAATAATATAGATATTTGCATTCCTCAAATTGAGAATTAATTTCAGATTTCTTTAAAACAATTTCAATAATCAGTTATTTATTGGGATATGGGAAAAAAACTCAACAGATTTCTCAAAGTAAAATCATAGAACACAGGATTACAAGGAAGGTATAGTTGCCAAATTCTGGATGTTTGGAAATGGGAGAACATGTAAAAATAATTCTTGTTTCAAGAGGAAATGAAAAGTAAAATTAAAGATCACTTAGTCATGAGAACTGTCTATGTCAAAATCTGTGATATATGGCTAAGTCTTCAATGCATTTAATAGAAAATAAATTGTTGGAAGAGAGTGAATAAATCATTCAAGCCAAAAAACTAGGAAAATAACAGCAAAGTAAATCACTCTAGGTGGAAGGAAGAAATCAATACAGATAAATGAGAAATTAATAAAATATAAAACCATAATAACAAAAAGGTAGAATCAATAAATAAAACCAAGAACTCTTTTTTTGAAAGACCACCTCTACTAAGTGTGAGCAAGAGAGGGAAAAGGGAAAACACAAACTACATAAGGAATTAGAAGGATATAATGACAGATGTGGATTTTTTTTTGAATTTTATTTAATTTATTTTTTTATACAGCAGGTTCTTATTAGTTATCCATTTTATACCTATTAGTGTATATATATCAATCCCAATCTCCCGATTCTTTAAATTAAAAAAAAAAAGAGAGATTATTATAAACAGGTGTCAGAAATCAGGGCTGCCAGCAGCTCTCTAATCCAAGGGCTGAGGTCTGGGAGTGTCAGTGGCACAGGCTTTGGGCACCTCAGGGGTAGGGTACCAACACAGATGGAAATTCCAGATTTAATCTACCAACAAAGACGCCCTCACACCAGGTAGGCTTTACAAAAATAATTTTCACCTCTCTGCTTTCCCCTGTTTGTCCTGATGGTTTGCTGAGATATTTGCATTGCATTTGCCTAACCTGAACACACATACCCACCCCCCGATGTCCTCATTTATTCTAGAAGGGAGGTTTTGTTTTCAATTTTTTTGTTTTTAAACTACATGAGTTATTTTTTTCAGTGTTCAACGTGATTGCCTATTTTTGCCAACATGTTTGGTGGCATCCTCTTTAATTTGTAAAGGGTTTATTCCTTGTATTGATTCCTGGGCTGTCCTGGAAGCACCACCAGTTTGTGTACATCAAGGCCTGTGAGTTTTAGGCCATTTGTTTCTTGGCATTTTTTTCCCAAAAGAAATAGAAGAGTCTAAGTAGAAAGTATTCCCGCCTCTACCTCCTCTCATCCTCACCCCTCAGAGGTGACTCCTAGATACCTGGTGGCTTTTCATGTCCAAAGAGGGTTGTATACATGGGATGACCACTCTACGTTGTGTTTTAATTAATATTGAATATATATAAAGTTATAAATCTAAAACCTAGGTTTTTTTCTTTTTCTTTTTTTAAAATTAATTTTTATTGGAGTATAGTTGCTTTACAATGTTGTGTTAGTTTCTGCTGTACAGCAAAGTGAATCAGCTATACATATACATATATCCCCTCCTTTTTGGATTTTCTTCCCATTTAGGTCACCACAGAGCACTGAGTAGAGTTCCCTGTGCTACACAGCAGGTTCTCATTAGCTATCTGTTTTATACATAGTAGTGTATATATGTCAGTCCCAACCTCCCAATTCATCCCATCCTCCCTTCCCGCCTTGGTAACCATAAGTTTGTTCTCTACATCTGTGACTCTATTTCTGCTTTGCAAATAAGTTCATCTGTACCATTTTTCTTGATTCCACATATAAGCGATATTATATGATAAAAAACCTAGTTCTTCTTAAGCCTTAAACTGCACATATAGATTTTATTTATAAATTAGTAATTTCAGTATAAAAGTGATGATCATTTTTAGTTAATCTTCATTTTATTTCCATTAAGTCATAAGCTGAACAGATGAAATCCTTATACGTTTGTCACCAGCTAGTTACATAATTAAGCAAATTCCCTTAATGCAAATTCCTGCAATACAAATGCAGTGCATAGGAGTCCCTCAAACTTAACATCAAATCTAAAACAGGATTTTCCTATGCACTTACATTTCTTGTAACTCTAATAAAATGTAAACACTAAATTATCAAATTTTCTTAAACATTTCAAAGATCTTCATAAACAATTGAACATACTGAAGAGAGTTCAAAGTTTACAAAACTCGTTACCAGGTCAAGTACACATACACACAGGCACATTCCCACACACACAGCTAGCACACGTGTATCAGTAATATGGGTTTGATTCATTTCTGTACTGTCTTTTTAAACCTTCCTGGGGCCCCAGATTTAAGCATTCAGCTAAGGGGAACAAATACAATTTCAGGTTGGATGAGAGTGCTTCGTTGAAAGCTTCTGACCCTGAACAGATCATAGATTTTTAAATGACAAAAATGAGTTTTTTTGTATTAGACATCACTCCCAGGTTGCTTTTTTCCTTAGCAACGTACAGTGGACGTCTTCCCAGTACCTATAGATCTTCTGTGTATTTTCCCCCTGTGATTAAAGAGTATTCCTTACTTGGATGTTTCACAGTTTATCAAGTCAATCTCCTATTGATTGTAATTTAAGTTGTTTTCAGTTTTTATGACTATGTAAAATGGTCTAAGAAACATCTTTTTACCTCCGTGCAGTTTACTGGTATGTTTCTAGATGCTAAGCCCCTGGAAGTATGATAGATGGTACATTAATAGGTACTTCACCTTGATCTCAAAAAGATTGTATCATTTAGCACTCCTATTGTATATGAAAGGGCCCATTACTCCATACCTGTATAATACCTTATATGGCATCCAGTCAATTAAAAAAGATTTTTGGAGGGTCAGTCTGGTGAGTGGAAAGTATCTCCTTTTAATTTATAATTTTCCTGAATATTTTGTCAAATGTTTATAAGCAACTTGTATTTCTCCTCTTTTGTGGATTGCCTTCTTTCTAGTCAGGTTGCTTTTTTTTTCTAATGGGAGTACGGAGTATAATAGATACTAACCCTTTATTTTTTTGCATTTTAGTTTCTGTTCACCACTTTCATCAAACTTCGTGTATTGTGTCTTTTCACCGTTCCATTTGAAATTTTATGGAGTCAGAATTTAGGTCTTTTCATCTATGATGCTTGGATTTCGGTGATGCCTGGAATATCCTTTCCACCCCCGTATTTCAAAATATTCTCCTGCATAGTTTAGTACTTTTACAGTTTGTTTTTAGGTCCATATTTTTAATCCTGTATGTAGTGTGATGTATGAATCTAACTTTATTATTAATTTGCCAAGTTTTAACCAAAAAAAGAAAAAATTGAAAGTGTGATAGGCTTTGAATTACTTTTACATGTTAATTGGGGGAGGATTTACATATTTCCAAAACTGAATTTTCCCATCTAGGAATGTGGCTTTTCAAGTATGTATTGTACATTTCTCATAATATTTCTTCCTCGTTATGGCTTATTTTTTAATTGCTGCTCTTATGAGCGGGATCTCCTTTTCCTTTAAAACATTTTCTTTTGGGCTGTTGATGGTATAAAGTAAAGCTATTGAAATGTGCATAGTTAACTTTTATTGTATAGTCTCACATTCATTTTCTGGTTAACCAACAGCCAGAGTATACAGGAATGGTTTTGAGGAAGGAAAGATTCAGCCTTAACCTGGCAGGGAAACCTTTGTTGTTAGCATCTTCTGCCCACAGAACAGAAGAATATGTATTTCAGTGATAATATTGATACTAGTGATGATGATTCTTTTGTCGTTGGCTTACTGAGGTAGTTTCTCACATGAATCCTTATTATGGCATCCTTATACAAGTACAGAAATTCAAGTTCACCCAGCAAATAAGGAAAGTTTGGCTCAGAAATGTCTAGTCTTGGTTTTGAGAGACCTTCAAGCACAACCGATAATCTAGTGGAGCATAATAACTTGTCCAAGTTTCCTAAATATTACATTAATATTCATTTTAATGTTGAATAAGAAGTTAGTGTTCTCCACCATCATTGGGAGGAGCAAGTATTGGAAGGATGTCCCAGAATCAAAAAGTTAAGAAAATATTACCTCTTCCAAAAATGTTGAAAATGTCCATCTGGATTAAAATCATTAAATGGTGTTATAAATATTAAATTGATCAAATTTATTTCTCTGTTTGTTTTTCTGTAGAATTCACTGTTTGTCATTTACCAATATCTTCATGTGTTTCTCTTTTTTTAAGAAAATAGACGTTACCAATAAAGCTGTTGCAGAAATTCTTTCAAAAGCTACAGAATATCTTCAGCCGAATCCAGGTAAAGTTAGAAAATGTCTTGAAATATTCAGTTGTTCATTCGCTGTCACAGATTCTAATAATCTAGGTTTACTGAGCGTATGGTTGACGTGATCTAGAAACAATGTCCTCTGTGTCCGAATAATGAAATTCAGTTTTTTTAAGTTGAGTGACTAAAGGTAGTTGCAGTGAATCCTAGCTGATGACAAACAGAACAGACACTTCTGTGAACTATGGTGACGTTATTCGGGTGGAGTCTTGGTCTTAGCAGCAAGACACTACTAAGCAAAGACGTTTTTTATGAGATGCTTTGGAAACCCACTAAATATTTTGTCCATGTTTTCTTATTCAGCTGTTTCCTCTTTTTTTCTTTTTTTAAAAATTTCTGCCATCCTGTTCTAACGGTGCCTGTGACTTTGAAACGGCTTTCACTTCATGGCTTAAATGCTGATGAAGTGAGGTATGATAAACATGAGAAACATGAGAAGGTCCAGTGTTACCGCAGCTTCTGGACAGGAGGTCTTTTCACTCCTAGGTATTGAAGCACCATCCCTTGATGAAGTTTTCCTAAGTTCTAAACTATAGAAACCAGTAGAGGGCGTCCGAGCTTTGAATTCTGTGGCTTTCCAAATCTGCCTTTACTTTGTATGAATTTATTATTTGCACATAATTATCGTGATTGCCTCGGCTGTAGGAATCAGCACACATCCAACCATCTGAAAATCTAGAAAATAAATTTAAAAACATACATTGAATAAAATATTATGTCCAGGCAGGATGGCAGGTATAGAATTCTTTAAAACTGTACAGCTGATTATCGTTTTAAAAAGCATAATTATATATCTCTTCCTGGGCCTTGTCAGTGATTGAACCATACAAGTCCCTTTTCCTGATGAATCAGTCAACACATGTTTAGCAAATGCTCCCTCTAGGCGAGGGGGTTTCCTGGGTCCTGGGATATACGGTTGAGTTGGAAGGGAACCTGCCCTCAATGAGCTGACACTGGAATGGAGTAGGGAGGTACTGGCCAACAATGAAAGTGTCCACTTGGCCAGACACCTCTGGTTATTCCTGAAGAAGAGGAAGGGAGGCCTAGCAGCCTCTCATTCCATTTAGTGGCCCTCAGTCACAGGACTGCTGCATCCCACGTCCCGCCCTGACAGTGGGGAGAGGAGCAGAGTGTGTGTGTGTGTGTGTGTGTGTGTGTGTGTGTGTGTCTGTGTGTCTTTGTGATGAGAGAGTGAAGCCTGTGTGCCTGGGGACCAGGAGGATAAGTGCTTCAAGGATGAGGTGGGCAAGATTCAAAAAGACTGGCACCGTGAGTGTCTAAAGCTTTGCTACTCGAAGTGTGGTCCATGGCCCAGGAGGATCGGCATCCCCTGAGAGACTGTGGGAAATGCAGAAATTTGGGCTCATCCCAGACTGACTGCATCAGACTCTACATTTTAACAGGATCCTTGGTGCTTTGCATGCACAATAAATATGTAATTATTAAAATAAAAGACAATAAAAATTTACCCCTTTACAACGTAAAATTATCTCAGCCACCACCTAGCCTACAGAATAAATTCCCAAATCCTTAGCTTGGTGTTCAGTTCATAGTCACATTTCCCCATAGGTATTTCCTGATTTGTCCTGTATTAATTTCTTCTTTGGTCAAAGCAGCCAACTCTTTATCTGTTGGTTATAAACCATAATAAGCATTCCCCCTTCTTCATCTTACACTATTTCTGCACTTTTGGGGGGCATCTTTCCATCTTTATTCAGCGTATTGTTATATTTTCCTTTCTGTACACCACATCAGACTTTATTTGCATAATTACATCTTGTATTTTCTGCCTTCCAGTCACTAGACTGTGAGCTCCTTGAGGTCAGAGGCTGTCTTAGGTCTCTCTGGAGTCCCAGTAATTAGCATGGTGTGTCACACAGAGCTGGGATTAGTAAACACTCATGGCCTAAGTCAGAGAAGGGACTTAGTGGCCACCTATCATTTCCCTTGGGTCCAGGAGTGGAGCTGCACCTGAGGGACCATCAGCACAGACTCCGGTTCCCCACGGGGGCATCTGTCTCCTACTGGTTAGGCTTCCTAGACAGGAGTGTGCAGTGCAGTGGCCCTGTACCATGAAGTTAAATATCATAAGTCTGGATACCCTCTTGGGGGTGGGGGGCTGTTAACTACCAGTTGGTTTGCAACACCCACCTCAGCAATTCTGTTGTTAGTTTGCAATTGGTCCCCAGGAAAATTTGTCTGCCCAGGTGTCAGTGTCTGACTCAATGAGTAAGCCGTGGGTGGGGTAATGAGAGCCCCAGTTACTATTATTTGGGAGTCCACAGTGTGTGCCATAATTTCTATTTTTCATCATGTTTGTGCAACAGTGCCCTTAGCACCCACCCTGGTTAAGAATCTAGAAAACCATGCGAATAACTTGGTGACACAAGTTACCTTCCTGTCTCAGGGCTCTGACATTTTGTCTAGGGTGACCTTGATTTCTCCAGCCCCGTTTGTTACATGCTATGTACCTGTCACTCCGTCGTGCCATTTTAAGGAATTACAAATGATAATGTTTTTAAGCATACAGAGCTAAGCTAGGAATGCTGAACACTGTGTCGAAGATCCGAGGACAGGTGAAAACCACGGGGTACCCACAGACGGAAGGCTTGCTAGGCGACTGCATGCTGAAATACGGGAAGGAGCTCGGGGAAGGCTCCACTTTTGGTGAGTATTCCCACATCACCCGGGAGAGCTGAGAATGCATCCTTTGTCGATTTTAGGTTATGCACAAACCTTCATCTTAACAACGCTTGTTATTTTTTTCATATTATCAAAGCAATACATGTTCGGGAATTTCCTGGCAGTCCAGTGATTAAGACCCTGGTGCTTCCAATGCAGGGGGCGCGGGTTCGATCCCTGGTTGGGGAACTAAGATCCTGCATGCCGAGTGGTGCAGCCAAAATATAAATAAATAAATAAAAATTAAAAGAAAAGTAATACGTGTTTATCGCAGGAAGTTTAGAAAACATAGGCAAGTAAAATAAAGGAAAATGCCAGCATCACCCATAGTTCCCTACCCAGTGATGGGCCCAATTACACACTTTGCTGTATATCCTTTATACCTTTTGTTTATTCTTATATATATATTCACATACACCTTTAAAAAAATTAAAATGGGGTTATAGTATACATACCCTAATTCCCTTTTGTAATCTGCTTCTTCCCACTGGCTGTAGCATGGTCCACGTCATAAGACAGTCTTCTACCACATTGTTTTTAAAGGCTGCATAATAGTCCATGTATCCACAGTTTGTTCCATCAATCCCATTTAGGATATTTAGATTTTTCTTCTTTATGTGAAAGAAAAAATTACATAGCATTTACGATAGGCACTTTCATGGATAAAGCTTTGGGAATAGCCAAGATTATGTTCTTAGATGAAATTCCTGGTAGTGAAGTTGCTGAGTCAAGAGTATGCCCGGCCGGGAGGCCCACGGGAGCGGCGGAGATTGTCAGTCCGGGAGGCGCCGGGAGGGCTTCCTCAGGGTTGTGGGCTAGGAAGGCCGCCGCGAGGTGCCTCCTCACATACCCCTCGCGGGCCCAGCAGGCCAACAGCGTGGGGCGGCGGTGACGTCGACGACCGGGGCTGGGAGCACTGGCGGCCAGGGTCCCAGCCATGGCTGAGTCTGTGGAGCGGCTGCAACAGTGGGTTGAGGAGCCGGGGTGGGAACTGGCCCAGGAGAGAAGTCGCCGGGCCCTGGGGGGGCGGCGATGGAGGAGGTGGTCGGGCCTGCATCGAAAAGATGAGCCCCGAAGTGGTGGATTCCAACCCCTATAGCCGCTTGATGGCATTGAAACGAATGGGAATTGTAAGTGACTATGAGAAAATCCGTACCTTTGCTGTAGCAATAGTAGGTGTTGCTGGAGTTGGCAGTGTGACTGCTGAAATGCTGACAAGATGTGGCATTGGTAAGTTGCTACTCTTTGACTATGACAAGGTGGAACTGGCCAATATGAATAGACTTTTCTTCCAACCTCATCAAGCAGGATTAAGTAAAGTTCAAGCAGCAGAACATACTTTGAGGAACATTAATCCTGATGTTCTTTTTGAAGTACGCAACTACAATGTAACCACAGTAGAAAACTTTGAACGTTTCATGAATAGAATAAGCAATGGTGGATTAGAAGAAGGAAAACCTGTTGACCTAGTTCTTAGCTGTGTGGACAATTTTGAAGCTCGAATGACAATAAATACAGCTTGTAATGAGCTTGGACAAACATGGATGGAGTCTGGGGTCAGTGAAAATGCAGTTTCAGGGCACATACAGCTCATAATTCCTGGAGGATCTGCTTGTTTTGCGTGTGTTCCACCGCTTGTAGTTGCTGCAAATATTGATGAGAAGACTCGGAACCGAGAAGGCGTTTGTGCAACCAGTCTTCCTACCACTATGGGAGTGGTTGCTGGGATCTTGGTACAAAATGTGTTAAAGTTTCTGTTAAATTTTGGTACTGTTAGTTTTTACCTTGGATACAATGCAATGCAGGATTTTTTCCCTACTATGTCCATGAAGCCAAATCCTCAGTGTGATGACAGAAATTGTAGGAAGCAACAGGAAGAATATAAGAAAAAGGTAGCAGCACTGCCCACACAGGAGGTTGTTCAAGAAGAGGAAGAGATAATACATGACGACAATGAGTGGGGTACTGAGTTGGTACCTGAGGTTTCAGAAGAGGAACTGAAAAATTCTTCAGGTCCAATTCCTGACTTACCTGAAGGAATTACAGTGGCACATACAGTTCCCCCAAAGCAAGAAGATTCTGTACCTGAAGTAACAGTGGAAGATTCTGGTGAAAGCTTGGAAGACCTCATGGCCAAGATGAAGAGCATGTAAATAATGGACTGGCCTGTATTTTATTTCCTGTGTCTAAACCTGTTCCCTAGCAATTAAAAAAAAAATCATTTAAAACTGAGAAAACTTAGGGCAACATCAGTTGATGTATAATCTTCACTGAATTATTATATTTTTAAAAAATACTGTGACTATTGCTTGTTACCCGCCCCCCCCACTTCAACTAAATCAGAAACTCTCCTAAAACTCATGTTTCATTCTAGTAAGAAAACTTCAAAGGATTATTGCAGGCAGTTATAAATCTTATTTAAAACGTAGCCATTGAACGGTTTTGGCCTTTTGGGAGGCGTGGGAAGAAAGGACCAATCTGATTTGCCTGAGGCCATGGACAACAGAATAGTGTGTGGTCAAATATAGGGAAAGGACAAGAGGTACAACCTATTGATTCGAGCCAGCAGGCATCTACTCATTGTGTTTGGAATTGCTCTCTACAGGAAAACTGCCCACGACTACTAACTTGAGCAATAATGAATTTCAAATAGTAAACCTGTAAAATAAAAACATCCTTTCAAATGTTTCCTGATGAAACACAAGCTGAAATACAGTCATTGGAAAAGTCTGTAAACCTCTGAATTACATATTCAAAACAAGACAGAGGCAAATAAGAGGAAGCTTTCTTCATGGATAGACAGATAAACATATTTTCAGGATGTACAAATTCTATTTCTGCACTGATTAAGGAAAAGCATATCATCTGTGGAACATATATCTGAGTCAGTGTGCTTTATTGAGGAGCAAATGATAAATTTAGGCTAAGATCATCTAAATTATACCCATCATATGGGCTACCTTCTAATACTTTATTTTATTTAAATTTGATTCCGTGGGTAATTAGATATTGGCAAAGGTTTGTCCTGGGTAACAGACAATAAAAGAGGTCTAAATTGCCTCTGCAACGACTGACATGTATTTCTTTGCAGGGAAGAGTATCATTTTCCCTGATCGTGACCACGAAATCGTAATTTGATAAACTGGTTTTCTCTGGATTTTGCATACAAATAATGAAGGCTTAGAGAACCTTGTTTGAAATAAATTCATAATGGTTTGGAGACTAATAAAGACACATGCATGTGTAACCATTATCTGTAGGCTGGTACTATGCTAGTCTCCTATTTTGATGACTTTTTTGCTCTGAAAAGATATAAATGTCTAAATTCTATCTCTAGGGGGAAAATGTCATTAAAAAATTAAAAGTGCATTTCCCACTTGTAAAGTAAAATTCTAAAAATAATTTCAGAAAGCCCCAAATATCAAATATGTTTAATATATTAGCTTTGAGATTTTAGCATACTGCGATTCTTATGTTTAGAGTGATGTCAGGAAAGTATGGGGATAGTTTTTCTAGCCTTGAAACATATTTACATTGCCTTAGTAGATCATTTGTTGTTTAAAATTTTAGTGTAGTCATCTGTAAAATAACTTTTCTAGTTCCTAGAGATGCTTTGAATTTCAAAAGAGAAATGCAGTCTTTCTAAGTCCCACTCCTTTGGTATACAAATTTGGTACCTCTGGTACACTAATTTGGTAGGGCTTTACTTATAAGTTTATATAGTTTGATAAATAGCTAGAACCTACTATCCTTTTTTAAAAAATTTTTTATTGGAGTATGGTTGATTTACAATATGTGTTAGTTTCAGGTGTACACAAATTGAAATAGTTATACATATACATATTAGAACCTGCTATCTTCTAAAGACCTTTTTTCTGTTCTTAATTTGGCACTGTACCCTGCTGGTGTCTTATACGGTACCAAATCTTATCTAATTTTTTTGTCATATCTTCCATTAAAGTTATTATTTTAGCAGAAAAAATCTGGTAACAAGTATCTTTTGTAACCTAGAGAGCTCTCTTCACAATCTGTATGCCATGAAAACTTGTATATGTAGGCAGCTATGAAAAATTAATCATCACTGGAGTTTACATTACTAAATAAACTCATAGTGCTTGACCAGAAAAAAAAAAAAAAAGAGTATGCCCGATTTTTCAGGTGTTTGAAGCATAGTCCCAAATGACCCTCCAGAAAGGTTATACCATTTTGACACTCCTGCCAGGAAGGTATGAGAGTGTGTTTCTCAGCACAGGTACTAACTCTGGGAATTATCTTTTTAGTTTCCTTTTAAATAACTGATAATTTGATTTATAGCAAATAAAACTGATATCTGGGCGCTGTTTTAACTTTAATTTTTGGATTATGCGTGAGGTAGATTTTCTTTTCACGTTTGTCATCATCTTTGTGAATTGTATATTTGTGTCCTTTGCCTACTTTTCTATTAAGGTGTTCATTTTTTTTTTCTTACTGGTTTATGAGCTTTTTCAGTGGTCAGGATACTTGCTTTTTGTCTGTCTCATATGTTGATGAAGTTTTGCCCCAGGTAGGCATGTACCTTCTGATGTTGTAGGTGGAGGTCATTTTAATGGAACAAGATTTTTGCTTTTTATTTAGTGGGGCTCATTGGTCTTCTTTTATGGTTTATGGCTTTGGTATCATGTTTAGAAAAACTTTTCTGCTCCTCCCCGCTTCACTAATAAGCTGTGTAAATGTTTATTTATACTTTATTTCCATACATATGTTTTCTTTTCTTACCTTTAAACTCCCAAGCTCCTGGTGAATTTAATGGATGAGTACTGTGCAATAGGGTTTTCATTTTGTGTTCTCACAAATACATAGCCAGTTGCCCTAACATTTTATTGAAAAGTTCAACCTTTTTCTGCTGATTTTCTATAACTTTTTTGTTATAAAATTTTATATATTTTAAGTTTGTTTCTGGTCTTTCTCTTCTGTTTTCTTGGTCTGTACCCTGTTTTGATCAAGTGTCATGTTGTTTTAAATATTGTCATTTTAAAATATATTTTAATATATTTAACTAAAATTTCCCCAAAATGTTATAAAAATTGCATGGACATACTCGTCTGTTTTATTTTTCCAGATGAAACTTAGAGTCATTGTAAATCCCCTCTACTAAAAAACAAGAAACTTATTAATTTTTTTTTTTTGCTTGTAGGATCTTAGTTCCCCGACCAGGGATTCAACCCAGGCCCTTAGTAGTGAAAGCACTGAGTCCTAACTACTGGACCCTCAGAGAATCCCCAAAAAACTTATTAAATTTTGATTGAGATTACTTTAAATTGATAAATTATATTGGGTGTGAGTCAAATTTGATACGTTAAATCTTCCGGGAGAATTTGGCACGTTTGCTACTCATGTAGTGGTAGCAAAGCAAGATATGGAAATTGATGATTCCAGTATTAGGCCATAGTCATTCATCTAGGAAAGTGGGGGGAAAGTCTTTTGAAAACTTAAAAAAAAAATCCCATATGTTAAAACACTAGTTAGTCACAGAGGGTAACAGTATCCTTCAGAGCAGTATAATGTGAATTTTATTTTATTTCCTGGGTGAATGGGGCCAAGATGGCCTATTCCTTGTCCTGAAGGCTGACCAATGGAGGGAACAGGAGAGACCGCCAGGCAGGCCCTGACATCCATGGACAGTCCTGCAGTGCGTCTGGTCAGGTGACAGGGCAGGGGATTTGAAGGGCAGACAATTTGGTAGCTTCCTAGGTACCCAGCGAGAGAGAGCTGACAATAGGAGGGCATTAGGAACAGAGGGGTGGCTTGCTGTTCTGAGGAAAAGACTGTGCTGTAGGATGCTTTCTTCTTGGGGCCACACAGAAATTTCCTCAAGGGCAGAGACCTCCACTGGTGGAGGCTGAGTCCCACGTCCTTATGGAATTGGAATCTTGAGCAAGGAGAGGGGATATCAAACCCATGGAGGTGACAGCTAATATTCAGAATGTCACCTTTGGCGCTTTCTAAGAAACAAATTTAGAAATGTTTTCATCAAAGCTAAATTAACTGACATTCTGGGGTGTGGGCACTGGTGGCAGAGTGAGCAGTGGGGTCAGAAGCCATATCCTCCATTTCTGACCAGCTGGGCAGGAAAGAGTCCTCAGGCCAGGAAAGGACGTTCTCATTTCCATTTCAGAATGAGTTAGAACCAGACTCTGGGAAGTTAGTTAAGGAGACATAGCCTCCCAGGAGGAACAAAGCTACCCATGTGCCAAAACAGAGTGTCGGTCAGTTGTGGTTTGGAGTATTGGTTTCCACTTACATTTTGCAAGGTCCTATAACATACACTGTCTGTGCTATTCCTTAAAAAAATAAAAAGTGAGGTGAGGTGATATTGCTATCCCTGTTTTACAGATGAATAAACTGTACATGCCTATGACTCGTAGGTGAAACAACTTGAAGGTCAGAATTAGCTAGAAATGCAAATTCTTGGGCTGGGATTTCAGGTCTTCTTCAAGCCTGGGAGTTGAGAGACCCCAAGCTCTAACCTTTTATGAGATTGATTTGGAAGACCCCAACTACAGGAAGAAGAGTTCAGCTTAGTGCAGCATTTCCCAGATATGTCTTCTAGAAAAGCTGCAACCCTCATAGTGCTCAGCTACCAGGATGCCTGCTTTCAAATTACTGCAGGTTAGCTGGTGCCGAATACCAGGATTTAATCCAGCTAAAGCTGCCCATCGCTGCCCAAGTCTGGCATGGCTGGCCTGGACCTCACTGCAAGAGCAGACCCTTCCCACCCTGCTGAAAGGCTGTCCTGTGTGACACTGCCAGACTTTCTTTGACATCAGAAGGGGTAGGGAAACTTAGAACCATCTCGAGAATACAAGGAGTGGCCTCAAGAAGACCTAGCAGCTAGAAGCTGAGATGAGGTTTTGTTCATTTATTTCTGTTGTACTCTTTATTGGTTAATACTTAACCCCTGATGAATGAGTCCTTTTATTGTTTACAAAGACGGATTTTGTTCTTGCGCCTCTAAGGAACCCTTGGTGCCAGTTCACAAAACTACCAGTTTAAAAAAAGAAGCTTTAACCCCATCTAGTGGCTGATACGGTAAGTGCCTCAGTCTGTCTGAGCCTCAGAGTTTTATTCTATGCGGTGGAGAAAGTGCAGAAGTAGTGAGGAAAATGTGGAAAATATTTAGAAAGACTTTCTCGTTTTTACATTTTCTTTTCTCTGGGTCAAGATTCAAAGGTCCCAGAGCTGAGGACCTTGTTACACACCATTGATCATCACAAACTTTTGGGAAAAAATTAAATAAATATCACTGTTAACTTAGAGTGAGGTCTGCTAAAGAACCTTTTTTATTTGTATTTTCTGTTGAAGGCAATGCATTGATAGAAGTTGGCGAATCCATGAAGCTAATGGCTGAGGTGAAAGACTCTCTTGATATTAATGTAAAGCAAACTTTTATTGATCCACTTCAGTTACTACAAGACAAAGATTTAAAAGAGATTGGGGTAAGTTTTCTAGGCTGTCAATCTGCCTGTTGCTATTGAGTATGATGGTTATACTATTTAAAATCATTAGAACATTTCTATAGCAACTCAGTGAACGCATCATCTTATTGTGGGTGGTAAAAAAATAACTCAGTTATGTTTACCTGGCTCATTGGGAAAGAGTCCCAGGATCAATTAGCCCTTGATTTTGTACCTGATTGAAGCCAGCTAGAAGCCAAGTTCAAGATACATATTTCTACAGTCATTTCTCACATAACAAAATGACTGCATAACTTTGTACTGGATTTTTTTAAAAGCAATCTTTATTTTTTTAATACCTTTTTTTTTTTTTTTTTGCCACACCCCACGGCTTGTGGGATCTTAATTTCCCGACCAGGGATCGAACCCGGACCATCAGCAGTGAAAGCACAGAGTCCTAACCGCCGGACTGCCAGCGAATTCCGTGTATTGGATTTTTGATTATCAAAATCATACCATACTAGCTGCATCTTTTTTTTTTTAGCATCTTTATTGGAGTATAATTGCTGTACAATGATGTGTTAGTTTCTGCTGTATAACAAAGTGAATCAGCTATACATATACATATATCCCCATATCCCCTCCCTCTTGCATCTCCCTCCCACCCTCCCTATCCCACCCCTCTAGGTGGTCACAAAGCACTGAGCTGATCTCCCTGTGCTATGCGGCTGCTTCCCACTAGCTATCTATTTTACATTTGGTAGTATTTATAAGTCCATGCCACTCGTTCACTTCATCCCAGCTTACCCTTCCCCCTCCCTGTGTCCTCAAGTCCATTCTCTATGTCTATGTCTTTATTCCTGTCCTGCCCCTAGGTTCTTCAGAACTTGATTTTTTAGATTCCATATATATGTGTTAGCATATGGTATTTGTTTTTCTCTTTCTGACTTACTTCACTCTGTTTGACAGACTCTAGGTCCATCCACCTCACTACAAATAACTCAATTTCATTTCTTTTCATGGCTGAGTAATATTCCATTGTATATATGTGCCACATCTTCTTTATCCATTCATCTGTCGATGGGCACTTCGGTTGCTTCCATGTCCTGGCTATTACTGGACAGCTACATGAAATTAGAACACTCCCTAGCTGTGTCTTTTGATACGTTGCACTAGTGATCGTTATTTTCCATTACTTCTTAAGGAGATCAGTACCTAGGAATCAACATTTTGTATCAGGAAAATGTTAAAATGGCCCTCCAGAGCATACACGGGAGCTTTCAGGGACCTGTAGGTAATCACATGCCACTTGCTTGCTGGTGCTTTTGCAGATATGCAAAAACAGTCTTGAGACTTCTACCCTGCCAGGGACTTCTACTCTGGAGGGACAGGCTGCATCGAGACCTTCTTTGGGCACCCCCTGGAGAAGCTGCCCAGAAGACCTTCCTGGTGGTGCCTTGAGGAGTGATCTGAATGCAGCCTGGACCAGCTTGGAAGTCACCCAAGCCTTGGGGATGTCCCCTTTTCCTTTCTTCAGGCCCAGATTCTCATGGTGTGGTCCCTAAGCAGCATCGGCATCACATGTTAGAAATGCAAATACTTGGGCCCTATTCCAGAGCTTCCTAATGGAAAGTCCTGGATGCCCGTATAGGCATTTAGAATTTACACCAAAACCAAAGGCTATGGAGGGGAATTCAGGAAGGTTGAAAGAAAAATGAAAGCAACTGTTCAGGAACTCCCAGGATATTCTGCTACCCGACCCCCCACCCAGCCTTCCCCCCAGCACCCTCCTCAACTCCTTACTTCCATTGCCCTCTTCTCCTCAGGCCAGTCCTCCACTGGACCCCAGAGTCCATTATCCTCATCTCCTCAGGGCCTTTGCCACATCCGGCATCCTCTCTCCGGAATCTCCCTTCTTCCCCTTTCTCTCTGTAGGCTTCTTCGGGTTAACGGTTAAACCCATCAGCACAGCAGCCCTTGACTCCCGGCTTCACATCTCGGCCCCTCCAGTCCACTCTCCACACCACAGCCAGAGTCTTCCTAAGGTACAAGCCCCCAGTAGCTGCCCACTGACTTTGGGGGTAAAGATCCAGCACCGTAGTCCCTAATTCCTGGCCCCTCCTTCTCTCTGCGGGTTGATCGCTCACCCCTTCCCACTTGAACTCTCTGCCTGGCCTCAATGAATTACTTACAGTCCCCAGGGGATGTTTTGCTTTGTGCTCTCTTTTTATTCTTTGTCTTTCTCCTTTTCCACCTTCTCCTGGCTAAGTCATCTCACGTTGCAGATCTCAACTCAGATGTTCGGTCCTTTGGGAAGCTCTTGTTCTCTCCCCGGCTTAATCAGGTGCTCCTTCTGTGCTTCCTGTGCTGTGAGCATCACTGCTTCTCTTTTTCTATTGTTTGGCAGCAAGTGCTTTGGCGTAAGGAGGCATGTTTTGTTCACTTTTGCATGACTAGCGCAGCCTTTGTGCTCACAGATTATTATTGAACAGATGATTCTAGAGAAGAGACATTCTGTGCTGTGGGGATGCCAAAACATCTTTCCCAAATGCAGAACCTTAGAACCAAATACCTCCTTTGCTGAAATACATAATATGCCATTTCTTCTTGTGCTGCTGACCTTGAAGAAAGCTGTACAGAAAGTCCACTGGATGACATTGCTCTTCCACTTGACCTGGTTCAGTAGGGTAGCTAGTCATGGACACAAATGTGGATCCTGAGCAGTGAGTGGGAGAAATGTACAAAATACACATATCCTTAAATGTTTCTCCCTATGCAAAAAAATAATTTTCTAAATGGTGTCTCTTGTTCTTCAACTCTGGTTTGATAGAGAAACTGTATAAATTTAAACTTAAATCCTATAGATGATCAAGAATTAAAGAGTCTAATATTCAGAAGGCTTTTCATAGTCTCAGCTGTGCTCTATATATCTTGGACATCTGGAGTGGAGAGCCTGTTCATTTAACACATGACTGACATATCTGTAAAAGGTCTTGTGGACTCAAAGGGCTTCTATAAATGTTTCGTCACCCATACGTAGCCAGACCAAGCCTGGTTGTGCCCGTTTACAGCCACATATGTGGAGGCACAGAGGGATTCAGAGACTTGCCCAGAGTCAGAAGAACGTGTCAGAAGACAGATGATCCTGACTCTTTGTCCCATATACTCTTCACCCAATCATTATGGAGGTTAGAACCAGTGCTTCCCACTAGAAAGAATAGTCAAGTTACCCACGTGCTTCAGTGGGACAATCTGTTTTCACATACACTTTCAATATCAAATATCTGTTTTCCAGGGGTTATGGTCATAAACTCCCTTGCCCTGTGCGGTTATCCCTTCTATAGTATTTCTGACATGGGATCCCTCTACTTGAACACAAACTGTGATGGGGAACTTACTGCCACACAAGGCACTGCATTCCACGAATGGGCACCTCTAATATTTATAATTGTTTTACTTTGTTAAAGAGATCATATTTTTAAAAAGAAATTCCATCATTTCAGAGGTTGCCTGTGAGTATCTGTCCTCTGTATCACATTCATCGAGGGCATTTATTCAACTTGTTCTGTAATTGTTTGGGAACTTTATGGAAGATGCATAAGTATTCTAGAGGATACTAGAAATTTGTGTTTTTATAATCTACTTATTAGTGAGGAGTTGACAATAGTACCAAAAGAAACATACTTTTTTTGGGTATAGTTAATTTGGTTGGAAATTATCTGGACATTAATGGAGCCTAAGTGAGGGGTCCTATAGATAACCTTGGAAAATTAATCTGCATACTGATACTGCATCCTTATGTTCCATATAGACACTCATTCATTCTGTCTTCCATCCATCCATCCGTCTACCCATTCATTCATTCCACAAATATCCCTTGTAGACCGGCAGTGAAGGGAGCCTCTAATAGATGATGAGTGCATGCAAAAGAAGTGTAAGGTGGGATCCTGCCCCCTAGAATTTATGCCAAGAAAAAGCAATGACTGTTTTCACAGAAATGCTGAATATTTCTTTGTGCTGTGTTTGAGCATCACAGTTCTCTGAAGGACCCCTTTGTCTCTTAGCACCACCTGAAAAAGCTGGAAGGCCGCCGCCTGGATTACGATTATAAAAAGAAGCGAGTAGGTAAGATACCAGATGAAGAAGTCAGACAAGCAGTAGAAAAATTTGAAGAGTCAAAGGAGTTGGCTGAAAGAAGCATGTTTAATTTTTTAGAAAATGATGTAAGTATTTAAACCAAACAGGAGACTTTAATGTGAATGAAAACATTGACTGTATGACTAGGGTCAGCATGTTGAGAAGCTCTGGAGCCTTAGTTGTTACACAGTTTCCAGAATTTTCCATAACCATTATCTCCTGCCTAAGAAATAGCTTCAGATACCCAGCAAGTCCTGACTCAAATCTCAGATCTGGAGAAGTCCTGTTGATCCTGGAATTGCTTCAGAGATGTGCTCAGGTTAGCCCTGGGGAGGTGGGGTTGTCTTAGAAGTGCATCATAGACCAACCTTTGTATTTGAGGCCATAGCATTGGTGGTTTTGCAGGAGAATAGAAAGCCCAAGTCATGTGGTAATTTGCAGTTTTGCTAAGACTGTGAAGAGCGCTCAGTGAGGCAGATGTTTGAGGAGGAGCAGCTCTCTTGGCTAGTGGGAGAGCCTCACTCATCACCCAGCTCTCTGATGCCTTTGCTTGTCATAGTGAACCTTTGGGATATAAAAGCATGACCTAAGTTTTTCAGCTGTACCATAGTGGTGCTTGTGAACTTGGGGATTGTGAAGGTCTTGACACATACCCCTCAGAAATGCTAACATCCTATTGTACCGTGACTCCTGTCACCAGCTCTTATTTTATTTGTCCAAGTAAAGTTAGATTAAATGTAACTAAAGAGGATGGTAACCCCCAGTTGGGCACCGTGAGGGCTGAAGGCCACCCTTCTTTGCCTTGGCAATGAGAAGTCACTTGGCATTTTTTACTGCCTGATGGGAAGGGCCCTTGGCCACCTGCCCCGTTTGGAGTTCCCACCCTAAGTCCAGCTTCTGTGATGCCACGAGCCACCTCAGCCCAGCATTAGCTTCGGACCTATTTGTTGGACTTTCAAACCTGTTGGAACAAGTCAGAGGGTTTATTTTTCTGCAACACTGTGTTCTACTTCTAATAATTGATTAAAAGGTATATTGAGGTCTTGCATCTTTCAAGTCAAGTCAAACCAAATGTACTGAGCACCTTTTACCTGCCATGGTGTTGTGGGGGAATTATGTCCACTGTTGACGAGACATTAACCCTGGAGGAAACAATGTGAAATCCCCATGTCCATTAAACCTCAGTACCAAAAAGTGCATTCTATTATGCTTCTCCTTTAAATATCTTACCAGGTTTTTTTTCTTTTACATCTTATGAGAAACGGGAAGAGGGATAACAGGTTTCCCTGTTTTTCTTTGTTGTTTGCTTTCCCTTAAAAATAGAAATTTCCTTGAAATTATCCCCTAGCAATAGGCCATTTGGTTTGGTTTTGTCTTGGATTGCCATATTTGATTTTTTGAAGTGTGAGGTATCAGATGCATGTATTCCTTATCAGGCTGCAGCAAACATTGCCCTTCCAGTCCTGGGTACTTTAGAGGTAGATTTAAGCTCTGAAGTTAAATCTCATGTGTCAGACGTGCTGTCTAACCCACGCGCTTTATTCATGACCTTTATTCATGATCTGTGATGAGCTATTGCAAAGTACTCCATCAGGGAAGCCTGTCTCAGTCTTGGCAGTTGACCCAAGAGACCGCAATTTCCCTTCAGTGTCAGTCAAAATCAGAAATGATCCCTTCCTTATAAGAACTCAGTCATCTGTCCATCTGTTGACAGTGTTCTGCTTGTCACAAATGAGTTAACCCCTGCCCACCCCACCCTGGGAGAAGTAACAGCTAGCTTATAACTCAAGCCCCACGGAGGTCCTGGTGTTGGCCCTGCAGAGGCATGAACTGCAGTGTTTCCCCTAAAGTTTCCTGGGGTGGGTGGGGGGTGCCTTCATTGAGCTCTGAGGAGCATGGGCTGCTCCCTCATTTTAGGGCCTGGGTCCACGTCTTTCACTGGCAGCCATGGGAACTGGCCACTGAGATGGGAGGAGATCAGAATAATGAAACGGTGGAGGACTTTCAAAGGCTGCCTTGGAAGTAGGCCCCACCTCTTTCTCTTCCCACCTTTCCTAGCGCCATTTTCAACTGTAGTGGTTACCCTGCGTGCTGTGGTTGCTGATTCTCAAGATAATGGCAGTGCGAAGGAGACTGATGGTGGTGAGACGAGGATGACAGTGACGAAAGCCACCATTTACTGAGTGACTTATGACAGGGAGGCTGCTCTTACCTTTGCCCCTCCCAGGTTTATAGTTGAAGAGACTCACAAGTTATCATGGAAGCTCCAGAAGACTGCCTTCTTTCTCTTCTCGGGGTAACAGCAAGTAGACCTAGAAAGGGACAACCTTGTCTTTTCCCATGACAGTGTCTGGCCGTATCCAGGTGGTCTGGCAGTCCTGTTGATGAGGCAAGGTCTAGAAAATGTTCTCCAGTTCCCCTTGGACCTGACATGCTAATACTGAAACTGCCTGGTGCTTGGGGATAAATAGTGGGTGTGACTTATTGGGGGAAAGACAAAGAAGCAATACATGGTGGGATGAGGCATGCTTTGAACCCTCAGGCCTGTCCTTGGCCCTTCTCCAGCAACCAGGCCAGGCCCAGTGGCTCTGCAGCTCACAGAACCCTGATTTCCTGCTCCCTCTGGGTCACCAACCTCATGTCCATCCTTCTTCACTCAGACTTTTGTATCCATGTCTGCTTTTTTTCATGGTGAGGAAGCTCTGAATGAAGAGCTGTGCTTCAGCATGGCTGGTGATGGCTGGGTTTTCTTCCAGGAACTAAAGATGGCTGGGATCTTTCATTCCCCTGATTAAACACAGTGGGTCTGCAGGCCCTGCCTTTGCCCAATGGATTGGACATTCCACCTGACCTGGTACCTGCTAGAGACCAGGTATATGCCTGCTTCTTGAGGACAGACTCTGTCAAACACGTGGCCTCAGGGACATGGTGGCAGGCAGCAGAGGCCCTGGCACTTTCTCCAAACACAAGTGGGACATGCTTATCTCATTGTGGGTTACAGGTTTGGGGTATCCGTCAGAGCTGATCATCCTTTTGGGTTCTGGCTGATTGAGGAATTGACACAAAAACCAGATTGGAATCAAGGCGAAGCCCTTTCAGCTGGTGGGAACACCCAGTGACTGTAAGACACAGTGACCTCCTGGTCACCTGTGTTGGAGGGGATGGCATGACCAACCCACGTCCCGATCGCAGTCTCTGCTCATTGCACCCTCATTGGCAAAAGCCTCCCCGGTGCAGAGCCAGCCTGACTCTCACACCCAGACACAGGCTGAGACCCTCGGCCTCTGGCCATGCAGAGCAGAGAACCCATCCTGCTAATGAATGAACATTCCTCGATCTCATGCACAGGAGGAGGAGTGAAGCTGGACTGGGGAGAGGGCTTGCAAGTGTTCCCTCCAAAGAGAAAGTGAAAAGCAGAGTAGCGGGAAGGAAGGGAGACCATCTGAGGTGGCGTGTCTGAAGCTCTGGGGCCACCTGCCCAACTCTGTCTGGCACTAACAATGCAAACCCCAAAGTCTCGCTCTCCAGGCAACAGGCAGTATCTTCTCCAGCCCTCATGTCCTATAGCCCTGGCTAAGACACGATAAAAGCTTCACCAGATACTGCCGACAAAATCTGTCTGCCAGAGATCTGTCTGATGTGAGAACTCCAACCGGAACTAACAGGCTTGGTCTTTCCCGGGTCTCTAAACGCAGATCATGCAACTCTTCCTAGGATTTTCTGGAGGTTTCTAGGATGTGGTTGTTCATCTGTCCTCACATCTACATTCTCCCAACTGAGAGACAAACAGGGCAGCCAAACAAGGATGACAAACCAGCCTCCTGCCTAGAGGACAGGACTGTCTGGAAAATCGAGTTGGCAGCTTGGGCCTTGGTCCACACTGGCCTCCAACTACTTACCCCAGACCTCGTCTAGACCTTAGAGCCACCTTCAGGGAGAGTGAGGTGGGCAGAGCAGAAAAGCTGCTTCACAAACCCACTTTCTTCAAGAATACAGACCCCAGGGCCAGGCCCCTCTTGCTTTTCCAGCACAGGGTCCAGTCACCCTGGGTGTCAGGGTCCCCTAATCTCATCAATCAGACGGATCACTCCTCCTCCTATCACGTGGAAAGAAGGAAGGGGTGGTGAGAAGGCCCTGAGTTGTTTACTCCAACATTCATTCCTAAGGGAAAGTGGCATCTGTTTTTCTACCTATTTTTGGCAGAGTTGGGGTTGGGGTAATCAAAGAGAAGAGTCTCCTTTGGCGCCATGCTGTCGTCCTTCAGGGTCTTGTCAGTAAGTGCTGGATTGGAGCCCTTGAGCATCACATCACCTCTTGTCCGGAGCTGAGTAGCTTCCTATTCTACACGCAGATGCAAGCCAGCAGGTGTTTTGGTCCATGAGATTTCCCAGGAGCCCAGAAGGGCAGGTCTAGGGCTGGTTCTTTCTGCTGTGCCAGGCTGGGATGAGGCACCCAGAGCAGCCCTCCCCTAGGAGAGGGGCCCCTGTGCCCCCCACAGTTAGCTCTGAGGTGGGGGTACAGGATATTCAGCAGTTGGTTCCCAGTCTCCACCGCCATTTCTTGGGAATGCTAAATCACCCCTAGGCCTGTTAACACTCTCCTGTCTTCACAGAGAAGTTTATTCCTCACGATGCGACATAATGGAATGTAGGTCTTTGACGTTGGCAGGGGCCAGAAATATCACACAGAAGATGCCATTTCAGACCGATGAGGCCAGGCACCTGCAATATTCTCTAAGCTCTCCGGATACAAATCCCCAGCCTGGGGACCCTCCCTCTGTCCATGGGCTCCCAGAACAAGTGGAATTACTAGATTCCAGATTCCTGGGTTCTTTCCATGGGTCTAGAGTGGTGTTTCCCAAAATTCATTCCATGGGATGTAGTGTGTGTTGCGTGAATAATGTCTTTATGGTCAAATAAGTTTGGGAAAGCCTGGTTTAACCAAAATGAAACAGGTTTGCTTTATCACAAGACTTTTCAGAGTCTTTATATGAATATATGAAAAATTAATCTCCAAGAGATTCCTACAAGAGGATACACAAGGCAGTTTCTCAAATTTATTTGACAATAGCACTCTTCCACACCACTATTATTATTATTATTTTATTATTGACATATCAAGGGACTTGTGATGTATCGAATAAGGCACTTAGGAAGTATTGGACTAGTAGAAAGAAAGCACTCCTGACACAGAGTGAAAGACCTGAAACCTGCTTGTGGTTTTGCCTCTGTTCAGCTATATGCCCCTAGAAAGTAACTTTCACCTTTACAGTGTCAGGCAAATGAACCCCTGCATGCAAGAAATTCTTTAGAAGTATAAAGTGGAGAATAAGAGTGTAGAGGATTATTATCCATGTTATTAATTTAATACGAATTTAATGGCCTGACTCAAACTTTCTCAGGAACTCTAAATAAAGGCCTTTGCCTTATTGGAAAAGGCATCTGTTTAAGACCAGACTGCAAAATTCCTGAGAAATTTTCCTCCAGCTTCTCTGAGGAATCCAAAAAGAGTGGAGTCTTTGATATGACAGAGCCAGAAATCAGTTGGATTATCACAATTCACGTCGAAAGTGGCCTCCATTGGAAGTACGTCATTTCAGTTGTGAAAGGGGACAACTTGCCAGGTCCCAGGAGATGCACATTTCTGCATTCATGCATGCTGTGTGTACTGTATATTCCAAGGATCTGGGCGGGGCATTACCTATTCACGTCAAGTTCTCTCTGTTCTCTCCGTGGTCTTCAGAGTGTGCCTCTGTGCCCATTTACCTGGCTACCGACCAGTCCCTTGGTAACTGATTGTTGGAGGGTCTGAGGAGATTTCACAGCCCTGCTCCTTCTCTGCCACCCCAATTTCCATATCCCTGTTGCAGAGAGTTGATCTTAGAGGCCTTTACCATGTAGTCCTTTGAGCCATTCTTCCTTTGGTACAACCAAAGTTCCGCAAGCCTCCTCAATGGCTGTTGGTCCACAGGCTCCCCCAGTGGCTCAGATCCCACCCAAGTGTCCCTGGACACTTTCCACAGCTCTTGGGAACTTCTCCCGCTCTTAGTCTCTGCCCCCATCCCCAGAACTAAGGTACTTCCAACAGCCTCAGTGGGTTCATTAGCACCATGAGTTTGGTTCCTATGAGTCTCAAGGTAACAACTCCCATCCCCCATAAACAGGGGTCCCTGACCAGAGCTAGTCCCATTGTTAGATTTTGCTTCATTTGAGAATAGGCCAGAGCAGCGCTGAAATGGCAGTGTCCTATTGCTGCTGAATCATCACAAATCTGTGGCTTAAAACAACACAAATCCATTATCTTGAAGACTGGAGGTTGGAAGTCCTAAAATCAACGTATTGGCAGGGCTGAATTCCTCCTGGAGGCTGTAGGGAAGAACCCATTTCTTTGTCTTTTCCAACTTCCAGAGGCCACCTGCATCCCTTGGTTCATAGCCTCTTCCTCCACCTCAAAGCCAGCAGTGAAGCATCTTCAGATCTCTCCCTCTGGTTCTGCTTCCACTGACGCATCTCCTTTTCTTACTCTAACCCTCCCGCCTTCCTCTTAAAGGACCCTGGAATTATATTGGGCCCACCCAGATGATGCAGGTAATCTCCTAATCCCAGATCCTTTACATAAATCACATCTGCAAAGGCCCTCTTGCCATCTAGTAATATATTCACAGATTTGGAGAAATAGGACTTGGACGTGTTTGGGGGCCACTTTTCTGTCTACCAAAAGCTCCTTCTGGTTTCATGGTTCCGTGTACCTCCCAGGTAGCGTCATGGTCCTCACCCCGCCCGTTTGTCAGCGAGCATTGCCTTTGTCTGGCCTCTGCCTCCTTCACCTCTAGCTGCCCCATAGGGAAGTCTGTTTGCATCATGAGTTTCTCACCTGAGGCGTCTGAGCTGGGTGTGACCTCATCTGTAACAGCAAGTGCACTTTACTTTCAGAGACCGGAGCTAATTCTCTGGTAATTCTGTTCCACTGTGTGTGTCATGGGAACCCTTGCGGGGTGTGAGGTCACACTTTACTCTCAAGGCGGCACCAGCCAAGTGGCAGCACAGGTCTCAGGTGGCAGTGGAACTAGGTTTTTCTTCTCATCCCAAGTGACGTTTCCTGCTTCAATAGATGAATTTGCCAAATTGAGTGGTGTGGCCAGTGGAAGAAATGTTTTACCTTCTGGACAGGTTTTGACTCTTGCCAGGCCTGGGTTTATTGCAACCTTGATTCTGCCAGTCCAGGTATTGAATTCTCATTGGGGTTTGGGAAGCAGAGGCCACCTGCGTACAGCTCACTGCTCATGGCCTGGGGACAGCTGGAAGCTTCCATTTTTCTGGCAGGGAAAGGCAGATAATCCACTTGGGGCACCACATGGCTTCACTGTCAACAAGAGACTTATAGCTTCATAACCACCTCTTCAGCAGTTGCATTGAGCACCTACTATGTGCAGGCGCTGTACAGCACTGCTGTTGTCTTCCAGGTTTTAAGGGAGCCCAAGATCCATTTCCTTCCCAAAGGCAGCCATCCAGTGAATCCAGATGCCTCTCTGGAATACATAATCTAGTATTTTAGCCACATCAGAGATGGCAGCTGGTGATCCCCCCTCCCAACATCAAGTGTGTTTCAAGGAATATTCATTCAACTACCTTTCACTGTTCCCTTAAAAGTTATAAGATGTCAAGCATATTTCAAAGTGGGTATTAATATATAAATTAACTTTACTAAAGATAGAGAAGTGTGGTGCAGATTTTAACCAGCACACAGCTCTTACACTGTAAGGAATCCATAGCAGATTCTACTGTGATCCTGTTAGGCTGTGGTGCTGGACTTATTTAAAAGTACGTGTAAAAGCCAAAGAGGTGAAACTTAAGAAATCCTTAGGATTTTATAGGGGCCAGGCTGTCTTTGTTTTGTTTATTGAGTTTTTGGAAATTTAAGGCTAGGCTTGTTGCTCTTCCGGCCACAGAGTGTGGTAAAATAAATGTAATACAGTGGGATTTCATCTTGCAGACGCTGATCACAGTACGGCTCAAGCGGAAGTCCATGTATATCTTACATGAACATGAACCCCTGTTTAAAATGGTGTACATGGGCAAGGAAAATGAAAGTATAGACAGCTAAAGCACAGTCAATAATAGCAAATGAAAAGAGCTTAGATCTTTGAAGGCAAAGGAGTCCATGATTGGTTTTGCAGGGTGAGGGTGTAAGGGTGAATAAACAGGCAGACTTTCCGCTAAGCTGATTAGCAAACGAAGTAAGGAGGTGATGCATAGACTATGGGGAAGCTTAGGAAAGAGGGGGATTGATTTTGATTTGTGCCTTTGTCTGGTTCTGGAGTTCACGGGATTCACGCTGCCTCCCACCCCCTCCCTGTCCCATCACCTCAACCCAGTGGTGCTGCCTCTGAGGCTTGTGGAAATCAGCTTAATGAATCCTTCTTTTCTGTAGCAGCCCCTCAAACACGTAGGGAAGCAGGGAAGGGAGCTCCAGTGCCCTACTGGAGATGGCTCTTCCTCAAATTATGCATCCCCAGGCCTTCCAGGCTTTTTTATGTAACATAACTTTTTCATTTTAGTTTTTTACGTCCACTGTAATTTGGTCACTGATTTCATGAATGTCTTGGTTCATGGGAAAGAGAGCTGCCAGAGTCTTTCTAGTTCATTCCTTTGGGCTGTTTTTTTCAGGGAAATGATTTTGCGCTGATAGCAACAAAAACATATAGGGGGCAACAAAAACATATAGGGGGCTGGCAAGTCTTGGCCTGGTGCGTGCCCTGCTTCCTGGCTTCCCTTCTTATCCGAGAACAGCTTAACTTACTTAGTTTCTTTCTTTCTTCTTTTTTTTTTTTTTTGCGGTACGCGGGCCTCTCACTGTTGTGGCCTCCCCTGTTGCGGAGCACAGGCTCCCGACGCGCAGGCTCAGCGGCCATGGCTCACGGGCCCAGCCGCTCCGTGGCATGTGGGATCCTCCTGGACCGGGGCACAAACCCGTGTCCCCTGCATCGGCAGGCGGACTCTCAACCACTGCGCCACCAGGGAAGTTCTACTTAGTTTCTTGATGTGACTTAGCTAGAAAGTGCCCATAGAGACACTTCGCTAAGGAAGCAGTTCATTTACTAAACCTTGGCTTCATTTGTAATTGGAAAAGCTTTATCTCTCCGTTTTCAGATCCATGAACTTTATAGCATAAACATCTCCTGAGAAGATCATCTAATTGGAAAAGTAGACTTTTTTTATTGAGTTAAATCAACTTCATAATCACAAATAAATTTGAACATGTTTTTCCAGCACTTATAGCTCTATACCATGACCTGTGTGATTATTACTTCGTGATGAAATGAAATGAAATAGACCAGAACCCAGGCAGACAGGGCGCTTCCCTGCAAAGCCGGGTCTTTGTTGCTGGTCTGTTCTCTTTCTGAACATTACACAGGCGCTGGCTTCCATGGAGTAATTTTCCACTTCTGCTGCAGGTAGAACAAGTCAGCCAGTTGGCCGTGTTTATAGATGCAGCTTTAGACTATCACAAACAGTCCACAGAGATTCTGCAGGAGCTACAGAGCAAGCTACAGATGCGGTAAGAGCCTTTGCATTCATTGTAAGCCTAGGGCTGCAGAGTTAAAAATCAATCGAAATCAGTCTCTCTTTCTCTCCATCTTCCCCTTCCCACTGCCCCATTCTGTTTTGAATTTTCTTTAGCTGGCTTTCATGGTTGGGTGTGGGATAGCACTGAGATAATAAATACATGGCTTTGGCCAATAGGACAGAACTGGGAACTGGGAAAAGGGATCTGGAAGCTTTTCTCCTTTTTCTTTTCACTCAAGCCCTTACTCATGACCTGTGTTTAGGGCAACCAAAGTTTCTCACTTGCCTTCGAATTCAGCCCTTACAGAGCTGTCCTGGCTTCACTGCTGACTGGATGAGGGTTTAGCTGAGGGTGGGATGGCATATACTCCCTCCCCAACATCTAAGGATGTGGAGAGGAGTGAGATGATATTCAGATAGTATGTAAATGTCTCGAAAAAGATGTGTTTTTACTTCACCAGCATAAATACCAGCCCATGTTCATAACATTGACTCTGAGAGATACTGAAAGAGTCAAAAATACCCTCTGAATGGTCAAAGAAACATTGCTGGGTTCCCTGTGACTTTACTGATAAGTGTATTCTCTACTTTTCTGAAAATTAGTGATATATGTAGTGTGCATGGTAAACCTATTAATTAAAATACTGGGTTAAAAAACTACCCTAATTTTTTACCAGGTTTGATAACAGAAAATTGTTTTACACAGGATGATTATAATGAATAAATTTGGAGAGATTTTTGCTTAAATCAATGCAGTAATTATAGAGGGAAGACAAAAGGTGTGTACAGTCTCTGAACTATCCACTTTTGTAGGCAGGTAGTTCATCTACTGCTCACATGAGCATCTTTTCTTAATTCTATCTTTATATGAGGAAAAAGAGAAGGAAGCTAGCATTGTTGAGTGCCAGTTCATCCCTGGTACTTGCTAGATGCCTCAGAGACTTTATGAGAGACAAATACTTTACAAATATAGGCATACCTAGGAGAGATTGGGAATTTGGTTCCAGACTACCACGGTAAAGCAAATATTGCAATAACGTGAGTCACACAGAGTTTTTGGTTTCCCAGTGCATATAAAAGTTATGTTTACTCTTAACTGTAGTCTGGTAAGTGTGCAATAGCATTGTGTCTAAAAAAAAAACAACAATGTATATACCCTAATTTAAAAATACTTTATTGCTAAAAAAAAGCTAACCATCACCTGAGCCTTCAGCAAGTCCTAATCTTTTTTGCTGGTGGAGGGTCTTGCCTCAATGTTAATGGCTGCTGACTGGTCAGGGTGGTGGCTGCTGAAGGCTGGGAGGCTGCGACAACTTCTAAAAGAAGACAACAGTGAAGTTCGCTGCATTGATTGACTCTCCCTTTCACAAATGTTTTCTCTGTAGCAGGCAATGCTATTGGATAGCATTTTACCCACAGTAGAACTTTTTTCAAAATTGGAGTCAATCCTCTCAAGCCCGGCTGCTGCTTTATCAACTAAGTTTTATAATATTCTAAATCCTTTGTTGCCATTCCAACAGTCTTCACAGCATCTTCACCAGGAGTAGATTCCATCTCAAGAAACCACTTTCTTTGCTCATCCATAAGAAGCAACTCCTCATCTGTTAAAATTTTATCGTGAGATTGCAATAATTCAGTCACATCTCCAGGCTCCACTTCTAATTCTAGTTCTCTTGCTATTTTCACCACATCTGCAGTTACTTCCTCCACTGATGTCTTGAATCCCTCAAAGTCATACATGAGGGTTGGAATTCTTCTTCCAAACTCCTGATGACATAGATATTCTGACCTCTTCCCATAAACATAAATGTTCTTAATGGCATTTAGACTGATGATTCCTTTCCAGAAGGCTTTCAACTTACTTTGCCCAGATCCATAAGAGGAACCACTATCTATGGCAGCTAGAGCCTTATAAAATGTATTTCTTCGAGAATAAGATTTGAAAGTCGACACCACTCCTTGATCCATGGGCTGCAGAATGGATGTTGTGTTAGGAGGCATGAAACAACACTGATCTCATTGTACATCTCCATCACAGCTCTTGGATGACCAGGTGCATTGTCAATGAGCAGTAATATTTTGAAAGGAAATCTTTTTTTCTGAGCAGTAGGTCTCAGCAGTGGCCTTAAAATATTCAGTCAGCCATGCTGTGAACAGATGTGCTGTCATCCAGGCTTTGTTGTTCCATTTCTGGAGCACAGGCAGAGTAGATTCAGCATAATTCTTAAGGGCCCTAGGATTTTCAGAATGGTAAATGGGCATTGGCTTCAACTGAAAGCCACCAGCTGCATTAGCCTCTAACAAGAGAGTCAGCCTGTCCTTTGAAGCTTTGAAACCAGACATTGACTTCTCCTCTCTAGCTATGAAAGTCCTAGATGGCATCTTCCAATAGAAGGCTGTTTCATCTACATTGAAAATCGGTTGTTTAGTGTAACCACCTTCATTAATGATCTTAGCTTGATCTTCTGGATAACTTGCTACAGCTCCTACATCAGCACCTTGCACTTTTATGTTATGGAGATGGCTTCTTTCCTTAAACCTCCTGAACCAACTGCTGCTAGCTTCAAACTTTTCTTCTGCAGCTTCCTCACCTCTCTCAGACTTTGCTGAATTGAAGAGAGTTAAGGCCTTGCTCTGGATTAGGCTTTGGCTTAAGGGAATGTTGTAGCTGGTTTGATCTTCTACCCAGATCACTACAACTTTCTCCATATCAGCAATAAGGCTGTTTCACCTTCTTACCATTTGTGTGTTCATTGGAGTAGCACTTTTAATTTCCTTCAGGAACGTTTCCTTTGCCTTCACAACTTGGCTGTTTGGTGAAGAAGCCTAGCTTTTGGCCTCTCTTGGCTTTGGACATCCCTTCCTCACTCAGCGTAATCATTTCTAGCTTTTGATTTAAAGTGAGCAATATGAGACCCTTTCACTTGAAGACTTAGAGGCCATTATAGGGTTATTAATTGGCCTAATTTCTATTTTGTTGTGTCTTAGGGAATAGGGAGGCCTGAGGAGAGAGAGAGAGAGAGAGATAGGGGAACAGCTGGAGGTGGTAGCTGCAGCAGTCAGAACACACACATTTATCAGTTAAGATTGCCGTCTTACATGGCGCAGTTTGTGGGGCCCATAATAATTACAAGAGTAACATCAAAGATCACTGATCACAGATCACCACAACAAATATAATAATAAAGAAAAAGTGTGAAATATTTTGAGAATTACCAAAATGTGACAGAGATACAAAGTGAGCAAATGCTTTTGGAAGAATGGCACCTGTAGTACACAGGATTGCCACAAACCTTCAATTTATAAAAAACGCAATATCTGTGAAGTGCAATAAAACGAGGTGTATCTGCATAGAGTTGAAAAACTACATTTGGGATATCAAAGCTATCACTTTGGGCTACTCACGAATCAACGTGTAAAAATCACCCCCTTGACGACCATCACCTAGGACCTAAATTTGTAGGCTTATTACAGCAGAGCAAACGTAGGCTTGGAGGCTTTGCTTTCTTCATCAGCTGTCTGACTGACCTTCAAATCTGTATTACAGAATATCGGCTGCATCCAACGTCCCCAAACGAGAATACAAGCCACGGCCCATGAAAAGGAGTCCTAGTGAGCTCAATGGGGTATCCACGACCTCTTCAGCAAAGACAACAGGTGAGATGACCATTCTGTGGGTGCGGTGTGCCCTTCGGTACAGCTCTGCTGGAAGCGTTTACTTACTGCTTATTGTCGTATTCTGTGTGATTATCTTGAGACCTCAGATTTCTCTCTTATTATTTGGCGAATTCCCTTTTCCCCCTAGTAATGCCCCTTTTCCTTCTTCCTTGTTTCGAGTACTTATATCAAGGAAGAATTCCATCACTTTACTTATTGCCTTCTAATGTGTCAAACCTTGGCCATAGAAACATCATGCTACATTATCCTTTATATTTACATTTTTAACACTTTCCAAATATTTTACTAATTTTAAAAAAGTTTGAATTAGCATATGTTGAGCACCTGCTATATAGTAGGCACTGCCTTAAGTGCTGCATCATTTTTTAATTAGACAAATGGCACAAATATATTCCTAAATAAAACGATCAAACTGAGAAAAATAAAATTCAAGTGATATAAATCATGCTCTAGTTTCCTATGATCACCCACTCCATACCAAGCCCCTCTCTAAGAGTAGCCATTGTTAAAAATTTGGTATGAACACTGTCATATCTATTTATGTGCATAGATAGATACACGATACACACCGTTTTAGATTTTTTGCTGTTTTTTAAATACAAGATCATACTAGATGTATTGTTCTGTGGCTAGCTTTTATAAATGTATCACTATTTCTTGGAGTTATTTCCATGTCATGCATATAGATCTATCCCACTACTTTTTAAAAATTTTTATTGGAGTATAGTTGATTTACAATGTTGTGTTAGTTTCAGGTGTATAGCAGAGTGAATCAGTTATACATATATATACATTCACTGTTTTTTACATTCTTTTCCCATATAGGTCATTACAGAGTACTGAGTAGAGTTCCCTGTGCTATACAGTAGGTCCTTGTTAGTTATCTGTTTTATATATAGTAGTGTGTATACGTCAAACCCAATCTCCCATTTTATCCCTCCCTCGCCTTCTTCCCCCTGGTAACCATAAGTTTTTTTTCTACATCTGTGACTCTATTTCTATTCTGTAAAAAGTTCATTTGTACCATTTTTTTTAGGTTCCACATATACACGATATCATATGATATTTGTCTTTGTCTGACTTACTTCCCTCAGTATGACAATCTCTAGGTCCATCCATGTTGCTGCAAATGACATTATTTCATTCTTTTTCATGGCCGACTAATATTCCATTGTATATATGTTATCCCACTATTTTTTAATGGCTTCCTAGTTTTCCATTATATATACCATTTCCCCATTAATGGACATTAAGGTTGTTTCCAGTTACTTGCTAAAAAGAATGTCCTTTTTCTGCCTCCACATGCTGATGGGCAAGTCTTTCTTAGAAATGAAATTACTGAGTTAGAGTGAACGCATTTAAGTGATCGTAGATATTGCCAAATTACCTGCTAAAACGGGTACACTACCACGAATGGAGCGATACATGCTTCCCCATACCTGTGTCATTAGACTTCAATTTTTGCCAAGCATTAATGGATAAACAATGATTCTTGGTTCTGTGCACAACTGTTAATTTGAGATTCCATGTTAGTTTGCCTATGGTGCCATCTATTACTGCTGCCTATTTTCCACGGTTTTGAGGGATTAGGGATGCTCCGCCGGGTGAGGTGCACTGGTTTCTAGTTGTCTGTCTGGTTACATTCCTCATGGCACTGTTTCAGGTCCCTGCACGCAATACTCCTTCCTGGAGGCAGACGCCTGGGCTCCCAGGTACTTGGTACAAAGCCAGGATGGGAGGACTTACCAAGCTGCTCTTTTCCCAGAATGCCAACCAGTCATCCCGCTCCCCAAACCGCTTACTCTGAGTTTTGGGCATCCTCCAAATCCACTTTTGTTGCATCTCTCTTTGGGAACCATTTTGAGCTTCATTTCCTCCATCTGCTGCTTTCCATCTTTCAGGTATTCCTTATATTCCTCATAATTTATGGTCTACCAACAGTGTTCATTCTTGTTCATCCATTGTTTGGAATTAAAGACATGCCCATTTTATAATCATTAGTGATTCGATACATGAAAGGAAGTCTGTGATCTTGCACTCAGTCTGCTGGATTAATGCAAACTTCAAGTCATTCAGTGTCATACGTCCCACTGGCTGCATCTCTTTGCTGTTTGTTACCCAATATGGCTTTAGGTGCTAAGTGGATGTAGAGCTGGAGAACCTTGAATCACATCATGAGAAAATTATTCTTTTTCTCAATTCTCTTTTAGTCATTCTGATTTCAAGGAGATAAAGCTACAGCTTTGTGCTGGAATATTTTTATGTCCAGCTTTAACAGAGAAGATAGACCTCAGGCTAAAAGTCTTCTGCAGGCAACAGTACCTACCTTGAATTTAATAAAATTGTCTAGTTTTCATCATAATTATGCGCACGGTTACAGTCTCTTTATAGCATGTAGTACTGCTTTTCAATTTACATTTTGATGTAAAGTTTTATTTAAAGTTATTTGAATAAAATTGACTTCATTAAAATATTATCAAGAGGATACTCAGGTACAGTTCTCTGGGAAGTTCTTTTGTATTGTATTAGGGTAACACTAGTTTCTGTTTAAAAAAGAAGAGACACCCAAAGTACAACGGATGCTCGACAAAATAAGATTTTCTCACTCATGCAACAATCCAGGGAGGATATTCCAAGAGGATGGGTGGTTCTCATCCGTGGAGTCACTCAGGAGACACAGCTGATGGTAGCTCTGCCATCTTCATCATCCTGTGGCTTCCAAGTTGTCCTAGTTGTTGCCACTCCAGCCAGAAGGAAGGGGAGAAAGAACAGAAGGCGAGGCTAGACATTTCCTATTAAGCCAGTGAGGCAGGAGTGACACACTCACATTCCAGGGATGAGAACTCAGATCCAGTGACCACAGGTCATGGCAAAGCAAGTTGGGAAGTGCAGCCTCTAGCTGGGCAGCCATACCTAGTTACATCGGGAAAACCAAAGCAGCCACTAGTCTATAATAACTATGGAATTCTGCTGGACAGGAATGGCAAGGACTATGTCAGTGAAAGAAGATTAGACCCTGGTTCTGCACCCTTGGAAGGTGGCAGGAGGAATCGCTCCTGTCCTTTAGCCTGTAGGCCCCTAGATTTGCCTTCTCAGAAGTCCTTCATGGCTTCCACATCTTCACTTCACATCCGAAGTGGCCTTTGGAAACCTGCCTCCTGTGAGAATTGTGCTTACTGCTGCTTAGGGGCCTTGAGGGTTCTTCGAGTTTCAATAGATGCAGATGTTTTCAGGTTAGACCTGCACTTCCTTTCACAATTCAATGCCTCCAAAAACGGAATAGCTTCTGATCTGTATCTCCCAGGCAGTTCCATGTGCCGGTAATCACATCCAAGTTTCTTTCTTAGATGTAGCTCTTAAGACTGCCTTACTTCTTTCCTTTCTTGTCTAACCTTTCTTAACTTATTGAGGCTACCTCGAGGCCATCTGAAACAGCAGACTTGAGTGAGAAGGCAATACTTTTAGATTAATCTTTGCTGTGGAACTAGGTGCCTTCACTGGGTTGAGAGAAGTCTCTGAGAATGATTTGGAGCACAACCTGCTGATCCTCTGCTCCTTGGGGTACAGAAGCTTTTCTAATATGCTGGGACCCAGCGTCTGATTTTTCTCTCTTCTCTTTTATCTTTGCTTGCAAACTGGGCAGTTCTTCTCTTTCGTATAATACTTTGCTAGATGTACCAAGGATGGGAGGTAACATCCACTAACATTCTGTTTTCTCCAGTTCCTTCCTTTAGAGCCCCTGGTATGTGGTATGCTTTGAAAGTTATCATAGGCAAAAGTTTTACCATATGTTTTTCCACACCCTAACAAGGGTCACCAGCTTTCACACCGATTATATGTTTCTTTTTCATCACTACCTGGCCACTGAGTCAGAGCCACTAATTTTAGCTTTTTTCATGACAATACCCCACTTCTGGTACCAGTTTTTGCTTGGTAGTTAGGGTAATAGTAGTTACTGTCATACAGAAACTCAAGAGAGCAATGGTTCAAACAAGATAGAAATTAAGAATGGAAGTCCAGGGCTAGAGATTTCCTCTTAGGGAAATGAGCCAAAGGTGGTTCACATCACTTCCACTCCCATCCCACTGGGGAGAGCTTAGTCACAGGACAACAGGTAGCTGCAAAGGTTGGGGGGGAGGTTAGCTGGAGAGCCACATCCTCACATTATATTACTGTGAAGAAGGAAAGAGAGGGTTTTGATGGCCAGCTTGCAGTTTCTAGCACGAACATCTACTACAAATAAGTTGTGGAAGAAAATGTCTGACCCCACATAATTCATTTCTGTTAGAATGTGGTACCATGTACAGGCGGTATGGGAACGTACATTAGGATCATCTAAGGGTTAGCAAGCTCTTTTTGTACTGGGACAGGTCGTAAATATTGGTTTGGCCAAAAAGTTCGTTCGGGTTTTCTTACCAAAAACACGAACGAACTTTTTGGCCAACCCAATAGTTTACACTTCGTGGGCTATATGGTCTCTGTTGCAACTACCCAACTCTGTTCTGGTGTGAAAGCAGCCACAGACAATATGAAAATGGATGGGCATGGCTGTGTTCCATTAAAACATTACTTGGCCTGAAGGCCATAGTCCGCCAACCTCTGGGGTGACTCATTGGGAAATCAACTTAGCAGTATATATCAAAATTAAGAAAAATGTTTATATACTCTCAGTGGCTTCATTCCTGGAAATGTATCCTAAAGAAATAATTTAAGCAAAAGCATATTCCTCTATCTATTACGGTACTATATAGAGGAAGAAAAAGTTGTTAGTGGGAACAGCCTAATGACCCATATTTATTTATATATATTTGTCAATAGTAGGATAATGGTTAAGTAGGCAGTGGTATATCAAGTGGGGTAGTACGCAGCTGTTCAAAGTTACTAACATGGAGATTATGTAGTAGCATAAAAATGTTTATGGCTTGATATTAAGTTGAAAAGAAAGACACAGAGTTATCAGTGTCCTGTGATTACAGCTT